CACATACAGCAACTAGAAGGATGTGCAGCTATGACATACAACTATCTATTGGGGCTTTGGGGGGAAAAAATAAAATAAATACAATCTTTAAAAAAAAAAAAGATGCTAAGATTAATCTCAGAATAACTAACTTCAACGTATTTGTTACAAAGGGAAAAAGATTAACTTTGTAGTGGAGAAACCTGGCAGACACCACCTTAATCAAGAAATCTAAATTAACATTACTAATAATGGGACAAACTGAAATTGTGAAATACTTGATAGGATGCAGTAAGAAGAAAGAGCATCAATTTTGCGATATTCCTGCTGAAAATGCATAACCTGAATCTAATCATGAGGAAACATAAGACAAACCCAAACTGAGGGACTTTTCTATATAATAATTGGCTTGTTACTTTCAAAAGTGTCAAGATCATGAAAGTTAAAGAATGACCTGATGATTTGTTCCAGACTGAAGAAAACTAGAGAGACATGTCAACTAAATGCAATTCTTGATTAATGGCATAATCTAAGTGCTCTAGTGAAAAGAACAAAGATAGCATTGGTGTCAGACTTTTAAAGATCTTATGCAATAGAGAACAAGTCACGTAAGAGGGGATTTTCTGAGAACTCTAAACAATTATTGAGACAATTGGTAAAATTTGAATGGATTCTTTAGACTAGATAGAAGGTAGTAATGTATCAAGGTTAATTTCCTGATCTTGATGGCTGTATTGTGATTATATTAAGAATATTGTCCTTATTTGTAGGAAATACACACTAAAGTAATAAACCAGTCAGCAATTTACTATGAAGGGATTCAATAAAAAAGTTATTTTTACAATTCTTGCAACTTTCTGTAAGTTTAAAATTATTTCAAGGTAGAAAACAAAATATAAGTTAGGGACTGCCTAACACATTGTAGATAATCCAGCTGAGATTTGCTTTGTTAGCCTGCTGAAAGGAGAGTGAAACAAATAACCAGAATTGTTTGGGGCTCTCAGGAAATTCCCTCTAACATGTTGTTGCCTGCAGTGGAGAACAGACTGTGGGAGGGGAGGGCACGCATGGAAGCAGGGAGACTAGCAGGTGAAAAACGGTGGAGGCCTGGACAAGGGTGGTAGCACTAGAGGTGCTGGGAAGCGGTTAGATTCAGGATGTAATCTCAAGGTGGAAACAACAGGGTCTGCTGAGGAGTCAAGGTTTTGGTGTTTTCGCCTTCGTAAAGGGGAGAACGAAAGCATCATTTACCGAGATAGGGAAGAATTTGGGGCTAGGGGAGGTTGTGTTGGACCTGGTTAGGTTTGAGATGCCTATTTGATAGCTAGGCAGAGATCTTGAGTAAAAGTTGGATGTATGAGTTTGGAGTTCGGTGAAAGTTTTGGACTTAAGTTAAAACTTTGGGATATGATCTACTTTTAGGAGAAATTCTAAAACCATAATTAACAGAGCATTACTTTTATTGCAGACAAAACCATATGCCATTGTTGACAGGAAGCCCAGAATATTTCCAGTAAGTCTTAAACTGTCTCTGGTTTTTCTTTTGTTCATTATTTTCTCTCTCCTTTCCCTTCTCAAGTGTTTTTGACTAAAATGTTCCCTTCTTTTCGCTGTCAGTTTACATGCCTGTTTTGTGTATTCTTGTGGGAAAAAAAAAGGAGGAACTAGTGTGAGGTAGCAATCACAGCTGAAAATGGGAAGTGGCACATTTCTTTTCAACTTGGCTGTAAAACTTGTCGTGTGACCTTTGTTGTCCTCAAGTGAATGGAAGGTACCAACAGCTTTTTACCGGTGCCCTATTTCATGTTGGGTAAGGACTTAGGGCCCTAGCCTAAGCAGACACCTGAGCAGAGTGACAGCAACTGCATTCCTCTGGTGTTATTTCCAGATCATTTTTTATGGCAATTTGACCTTAACCTCTCCATCTGTGAATTCAAATCTGTTCATGTGTGCTTTAAGTTTCATATTAGGAATGTGTAAGCTATTATCCCAATTTAAAATGAGTCTTTTCAGATTAAAAGATTACTCAGTAGTCAGTTGGAGTTTTTACTGTTTGTGAGGTTATTGTTTAGCATAGTAACAGACCTGCTGTGTTCTTGTCCTGCTTCTAGTCACAGATACTGAACTGCTATCAATCTCTAAGTTGTGTAATTTTAAAACACAAAACTCAGTGTTGATTTTTGCTTCAATCAAATGACATAGTCAAATAATCCATTATCTACTGTAACAGAAGGGAATTTCAGGGAGAACAACCAAAATTGGCTAACCCTTCCAGTTGGAGCTCTGCTTTAGGAAATAGGGGATTTTTTCTGTATTTCATTGTGTATAATTCATGTGTGTCAGGGTCTAGGTAGTCTCAAAATAGGAAATTATCTTGCTGGTTTCACCAGTTGGGTAATTCATTTATTCTTCCGTTTATATATCTGTTTATTTATTTTGCCATTACTGTTCAAAGGAAAAGAAGGAGGGCTCTCTATAGAAGACCACATAGTGATTCCATAGCATTTCTCCTACTTCTGTATTTTTTGCCACTGTGGTTCTTTCCTATCTCTGTACCATTGACCCTTTTGAGGAAAGAATGCTCATTTATACAGACATTAATTAGAATAGGATAGACAGGAACAAACCCCCAAATCTCAGGGGCTTAACAAGACAAAGGTTTATTTCCTATTGACATCACAGACCAGTGTGGATCAGTCCTCCTCAATCTCATAATTACGCCACCTGGAACATGAAGCTTCCAAGATCAGGGTAGGGAGAGAGGGCTGGACGTCTCAGGGGACCCCATCTAAAATAAGTGCTGCAAGCATGTCCTCCTTAGGGTTGTACAGACTTCAGAGTCTGCCTCCTGCTCACAGAAGGTTGAGTGCCAGAGCGGGTTTTAAGCTCAGACATTCACAGGCTTTTGTTGTCTATATGTTTGGTTTCTTTAGCCATCTAGTTTCCACACCATTTGGTAGGTATAGAAAGAAAAATACTTGGTAGGAGTCTACTCTGTTTGCTTCTAGTCAGTCCCACGTGCCAGTGTCTGGGCTTTCTATACAGTTACCAAGTTCTCTTATTTCTTTGTCCTTACGCAACTGCCTCTCTCAACTCAGTGGCAGCTATGTGGAGGCCACCTGAAACAGACGATGCAGAGGTTCCCTTCCCTTCAGTGTGATCTTTGCCATAGAGCTGATCCCTCTGTTAGTACTGAGTTTTATTGGACATTTCTCAGAATCTCGTGTTAACTCTTACTGTTTGGAGATTCAGAAACAATCAATCTGATTTTCCAGTATTGCAAGGTCCCCAATTTTTGGATTCTCTCCATTTTTATTTCTCCTCTGAAATCAGCCACTTCTTGCCTGAGCTCATGTTTCTTAAGTACATTCCCAAGGCAGCCGGTAGTAGTTAAACACATGCTATAACTTTTTTTCAGTTACTTCTCCTAGAACCTCAAGTTCATTAGACAGAGTGCTTCCAAGTCATCACTGCCTTTTGTTTCCATCTTTTAGCCTCCAATGCCAGTGTCCTTGCCACCAGACTGCTAAGCCAGTGCCATGTGGTTCAATTTTTATTACAGCAGCATCAGTACCACTTCAAGTTACTAATTTCTGTGTTAGGATAATGCTAGCTGTGGTAACCAATTTTCCCCCAAATGTATAATGGCTTAAACTTAATACAAGTTTATTTTCTCAGGTCACAGTCCTGAGTACCAGGTCAGGAATGGCAGAGGTGGGGATGAGGGTAATTCTACTCTACTCAGTCATTCACAGGCTGTCAGGCTGACAGAACCTGCTATCTTAAACAGAAAGCTGAAATTAAAGCTAAGTAATTGGCCTAAAATTATACAGCTTGTCAGTGGAGGTTCTAGGATTCTCACCACATGGTTGTGTGTCCAAAGCCCATGCCTTTTCTACTACACACACTCTGTCTAGATTTGAAAAGACACCTGAACCAGCTGCCCAGGGAAAGTTTGCATTCTGTCTCTAAAATCTGAGCCAAATGGTAAACTGGTGATTGCCCAACCCATTCAGTTGCTGGGAATACATTTCCTCCTCATATTGAACTGAAGATGTTTCCCTGCAACTTCTTTCCAGGGCCTGTCCTGTTTCTTGGGGCCATGCAAAATAGAGATTATCCCTTTATCACTTTGTAAAGACAACTTTCATGTCCTTTCTGGTCCTTTTGTTTGAGTGAAACTTCCCCTATTCTTTTACATATTCCTTAAGATTTTGTATACTGGTTGCTCCTCTTCAGACAACCCCTACTTGGTCTAAGTCCCTTTTAAAGTGTGAGTGCCAGAGCTGAACTGGATTTTCCACATGAGGTCTGACCAAGTGGAATTGTCACCTCTGCAGACAAAATTTTTCTCCTAATGCATCTTTGTTTTTCTAGGGTGATACAATTCTGGAGACTGGAGAAGTAATTCCACCAATGAAAGACTTTCCTGAGCAACATCATTGAAGATTACTTTAAAATTTCAAAGGTGTATCAGCCCAAGTTTGTTCCTACATTACCACATTTACTGAATATATTTTCTGGAAAAGTAACTTTAATAAAGTTTACTCTCAGATATGTGTTGTCTGTTTCTTCCCAAACACTTGAGACTGAATTATTTGACAATAAGTAAAAACTGGGCACGCTAAAAAATGATAGAAGCAATCACCTACTTTTTCTGGCCATTCTTGACTTGGAAAACAGGATATAGAAAAGTATTTAGTTACAAGATAGATTTTTTTCTTACACAGTACTTAATCTAGTCTGATGTGAAGGTATGCAACAGAATGAAATGCTGCAATAAACAAACAGAAGAACAAATTCCACACGCTTTGTTTTTAAAAAAGGCTTTCTGAGGCATTTAAAAAATATTTTAGAAACTCTACATTGAAAAGCATGGCAATCCATCTATGATCTGATACTCAAAGGCTGTCAGCTCTAGGTTGTTTTGTTTTGTTATATATGACAGTGTAAAAGACAAATCTCTAACTATTTGAAAAACTGGTATGTGAGTAGCTATTATAAAAGACCGTATACAAAAATAAAGTTGGAAGCTTTGTATTGAGGATTTTACATCTAGACACACGTCAGATAAGCACGAGGTAAAGAACTGTATTTGCATAGAATGATATCCAGAGGAATTACAAATTTTCGTTCATCCCGAAGACTTTGGGTATTCCTTCCTTAGCTGTCGCCGTGCAGCTACTGTCGATGCATAGATGACGTATCCCCAGGAGAGTAACACAACCGCGAGCAGCAACTAAGAGAAACAAGCGGGGAAGTGAAAGCAAAAAAACCTCGTCTCGGGAGCGGCACGCCCCGCCCCGCGCCCCCGGGCCGCCGCGTACGTTGCTAGGGTGGGAATTACAAGCCGGCGCAGGCCGGGTTCCGGAGCGCGGGCTCCGAGCAGCCCTTACGTAAGGAGCGGAAGAGCGTGTCCTCCAGGAAGAGGCGGGGCCGAGGGGAGCGAGTAAAACGCTTCATTCAGGAATGGATTTTAGAATTTCTGGGCGCTGAAGGAATAGGCACCCCTCCGCCCGCGGGCCCGGGGCGTGGACGCCGTGGAGCCCCGCCGACCCGCACCTACCGCTGAGTAGATCCAGTCCAGCGTGCGGCGACTCACCGGCCTCATGGTAAGCGGCGGCGGCGGGCGGCGGGCGCTGCAGGCCTAGGCGAACCTGCGGGGCGGCGGCAGCCGGGCGGCGGCGGCCATCTTTCAGCCGGGCACAGCGCCCGCCCCCTCGCCTCCGGCCGCGCGGCCCGGCTTCGCGGCGGCTGCTTCCGCCCGGGGTGGGCGGTCACGTGATCGGGCCCAGCCCGCCTTTCAGGGACGCGGGGAGCGCTGCGAGGAAAGACGTTGGAATCGGCTTTTCTGCCGCCTGGAGAGAGAGGCGTGCGCCGTCAACCGGTCTTCCTCCAGCTGCAGTGCAGATGAACGCGGGCTAACGTGCCGTCGCGTGTAGTGGAAGCTTGAGGAAGCAGTCCGAGTTTTAAACGTGACAGCGGCGGGTACCGTGGACGCAGTGACGTCTCCCCCGCATGTACCCCATAACATACAGAGGTTCGCACATGCATCTCGGGCACGGTTAACACGAAGCCCCGCCACTTCCTCGCGAGTGGCGAGTCGTGGGAAGCGCGCTGACCGAGCCGGTCCTCAGGGAACGCAGGTCTGAGGACGCTGGCTCGCTGAGGCCCAGATGCTTCTGAGAAGTGCCGGCACGGGCGCCCTGCCAGTCAGCCGGTGTCGGCCGGGCGTTTGCCGCTGACAGACGCCAGCACGGGGGCGCGTGTCAGGAGGCACGGCGGTTTGGCACGAAGTCCAGCTCCGGACGCCGGGCGCTCGCGCGCAGGCCCGCGGAGGGACGGGGCCGCCCCGGCTCCGGCGTCCGTGTCCGCGCTCGGCGAGGTCCGCCCCAGATCGCGGGGCGGGCGGAGGCGGCCGTTAGGGAAGACGCGCTCCGTTTGGGCGAGAGGTCACGGCCCCTTCTTAGGTGTCCCCGTGTCTCCCCGATGGAGGACTCTGGAGACTGTGGGACACTGGTTGGGCTCTGGCTGTGGATTCCATTCGAATCCCGGTGTTATTTCCCAGCTGTGCAGCGGAGGTAGCGTCACTTTCCTCCCGTGTCGCCCCGTTCCTTCCTCTACACCCGAGACGTAATTTCACTAATTTCTCGCGGAGTTTGGTGAGGTGGAACTGACACCGAGCTAGTTGCGCGTTTTCCGGGTAAGTGAGGGGCGAACATTAAGTGGTGCCCCCGTCCCCCCACCCCCGGCGGTTAACAGTAACAAGAATTACGGTGAGGCTGGTGACTTCTGCCCCCGGGGTCACGTCGCTCTCGTTCCAGGAACGGCGGGCGCGGTGGGGGAAGGGCCGGGCTCGGGGCGGGCGCCCTCTCGCCGCGCATGCGTCACGCCGGCCGGGGCTGTGTTTTGACGCGCCGGCGGCTGCGGGGCGGGTTTCGCTTTCCGCCGCCGCCCCCAAGCTGCCATTGGTGATGAGCGCTTTACGTCACAGGGGTCGCAGCAGCCGCCGGGGTCTCCGCTGTCTCGCGAGGAGGGTGAAGCGCCCGCGCCCGCTGCCGAGGGCCGGCGGCGAAGTCGCCGGGTACGCCTCCGCGGCTCGTGCCGCCACCGACCGAGCCTCCTGGGCCGCCGGGAGCTTGCCACGGGCCCCCCAGCCAGGCCTGCGCCTGCATCCTCCGAGG